ATAAAAAAAACGTGCCATAAGTACAGTAACTTTTAAAAAGTGTAATGTTTTGGTTTTGCCAGTAACTGAATAGTATTCGTTTACAAGATCAGTTGTCCATAAACTCAGATGAGTTTGTCTTTTGTGGTATTCTCTGTGGAAAATAATATCCGCTGTGGACTTTTTCTGTTATTGCTATCCACATCTGGTGTAGAATTAAAGAACATTCTTAAATGGGTTTATTTTAATAAACACAGTAAGTTTTAACTATTGTATCACAGCATTTACTATAATTAACTTTTAAAACTGTTGTTTTGTATGATGCGAGATTTAAAAATTTAATAATCTATTTAATAATCTTAACAGGTTTGAGACTTTCATATTTAGTTGTACTTAAACAAGAGGTCAAATGGAATGTTTATATTTTATTTACTGTAATTTATTCTTGCATATTTAATAACTTATGTGCATTATAAATGCATTATAGACTATATGATATTTATTTATATATTATATAAAAAGTAAATTAAATACCGATACTCACCCATTATTTTCATAAAACAAACAAACCTGTTTCGGCTTTTATGCCATGATCACAATTAAAATCATGATTTTATATTAATATGACTTTACTTTAAGGAGTGTAAATATTATTACTGTGTTGACATTTCTTTTGCTGTGACACAACAATAATATGGTCATCTACGCTGCCAGTGAGAACTCTCACATAGGCAGAAGCCCATTATTTGATAATGTGTTTATTTATATATTGTTTTGCTGGTTAATTATTTGTCACAATAAAGATTTATTTGATTTACACAAAGAGGTTCCAAGTTGTCAAAATTCGTTGGTCGCTACTCCTCCACTCACACAGGGATAGATAAGATGCATTGCAAAGGGAACAAATGTCTTCTGAAGTTAGGGAAGTTGCTTCTGATAAGACAAAGTCTTTGGGTAGCAGAATCGTAGGAACATATGTCTATCAAAGTTAGGATAGTAGTTTCTGATAAGACCAAGTCTTTGGGTAGCAGAATCGTAGGAACATATGTCTATCAAAGTTAGGATAGTAGTTTCTGATAAGACCAAGTCTTTGGGTAGCAGAATCGTAGGAACATATGTCTATCAAAGTTAGGATAGTAGTTTCTGATAAGACCAAGTCTTTGGGTAGCAGAATCGTAGGAACATATGTCTATCAAAGTTAGGATAGTAGTTTCTGATAAGACAAAGTCTTTGGGTAGCAGAATCGTAGGAACATATGTCTACCAAAGTTAGGATAGTAGTTTCTGATAAGAATTCAGTTTTTGGGAAGCAGGTCCGAGATAAGAGAACAGTAGTAGGATTGCAGTTTCTGACAAGAGCACAGTAGTAAGATTGCTTTTTTTTTATAATAATAGCACAGTAGTAAGATTGCAGTTTCTGATAAGAGTACAGTAGTAGTGTTGTAGTTTCTGATAAGAATTTAGTAATTTGGTTGCAAAGTGGTTTGCCATATTCCAGTATTATTTTGATACGATTCAAGCATAGGCTGAAACAATTTTTAGAAGGTATGGTATACAAGTCCTTGATTAATCTAATTATTTAATTATCTTAAATAAGGATTTATATTGTTTGTTGACTCTCCTTTCTATTACAATTATTGCCTTATATGCAAATGTTTTCTTGTGTTTGTTATATACCACTATAAATAATATTTTTTTAATTATGATAGTGTTTTTTAATTCAATAGTTATTTGGTGTTAATATTTATGTACTTTCAACTGCTTTTTATCATATTATCTTATTTTATACAGAAGTTTAAGTACCATTTTGGTACATACAATCACAGATGATATTGAATTGAAGACAGTTTTACTAACGTTTCACATTCAAAGAGTTTTGCGACTACAACAGCAAAAGACAACAGAAACGGAATTTAATATCAGCATCTGTATTTTATACAAAGAATGTGGCACCGGTAGCTCCTCTTCTAAAGTAAATGAAAACATTGCCTTTACCTATATGATTTTTTTTTTAATAAATTAATAGTTAAAGTTATTTCAATTTGTCATATTTTAAACTGTATTTAAATTTATGAAACTGAAAATACTTTACCATCCTATGCGACTAATAACTTTTTTAATGAGTCATATAACACTGTTATTAATTTTGTTAAACTACTGTCGAATTCATGGTCTTTATTGTACGATCAGTAAGTATATGTGATAACTAAATTTACATCTTAAATCAATCCACAAACTTTTATAAAATCCCGTTGACAGTTTTACAACTTGACAAAATTTAAATTCATCAATCTTTTTCACACAACTGTTTTTATATTGTCATATTTTTGCTGATTAGGGAGGTAGTAATTCAAACATTCAAATCTTAGAAATAATTAACTCAGTTGTTTTCTGTCCTGTTTTTGGTACAGTGTAATCCAAGGGTCTCCTAGGTGGGTTGAAGACCACTCACCCCCTCCCCCCTCACGCTTGTTATACTTTAATTGCTCCTGGCTTTGTGCCCCATCCCCCCTTGCATTCCTTCCCCACCCCACCCCTTAGGGCTTGGACTTTATTACTTGTTTGTTTATTCTGTCTTGATCATCCTGTAATTATTCTGTGTGCCCCTGCATCCCTTTGTTCCTGTGGAGAGCACCACACAAAATAACAAGTTTTTAACATAGGTTTTTGTAACAAGTATTTGTTTTCTTTCAGTTATTGTTATGTTTATTTGGTGACGATATATCATCTCAACTTAAAAATATAAACAAAAGTTTACCTTGGTGTTTTACGAGGTAAATTATATTTAGCCAGGGTTGAATTTAAGCACTGTATGTTAGTATAGGGATAAAAGAACGAACACTGTTTCAGAGTGCAGTTAAGAGTAGCCAAAAAGGCAAAACTAACCCCATAAAAATACACCAGCTCAAAAATTTGTTTGTCAAGAAACAAACTTTATTCATTTCATATCCACTTTTCTGCAAGGTATTTAACTATAATATGGTTTGGTTGCTATAGTTTGTACGGGTTATGAACATTCAACAACCTGGAAATGAAAATAAAATAGGTTTTCTACTAGGGTATTCTGTAGTTTATTAAATGTCTATAGACTGGTTGCTATAACCATGCTTCACAGAATAATGTTTGACATCAACCTATGTTACTACAGCATATTTGCATTTTAGATTGGTCAACTGTAAAATATCAATTTATGATTAGGATATTTCAACTAACATAAAAAAGATGTTGGGGACCAAGCTGGTCTAGTAGAGTGTATGTAATTTTTCAATATATTTTAGCTATGTAATGTGCACCTTAGGGTGCTCAACTAAAATAATAGACTGTTTTATAAAATAATTGTAAAACACAGGGTTTTATTTTTTAATAAACCAGCAGTCAAATAACACTTAGCATTAGAATATTTTGAAGTAAACTATATTCATACATTTTGGTATTATAAATATATTAAAGTTTAGGGGGTTTATTATTATAAATATTTAATAAAAAATGTTTTAATGCTAGCTAACAAATATTTAATCACCACAAACAACAACACTTTGGCAGTAGTTAGCTGTTTAAGATTACTCCAGTATATTTGAGGTTTGGCCCAAGTGCATTCATTAGGCATAGAGTGCAAGGATCCATGAATAAATGAAAATGGAGCTAAAAGGTTGTGGATTAGAGAGGAGCCAGTAAACTCTGGCTGGGGTTAGTGCTTTGAACAGTCAGACTTTTGCGTCAAAATCCACCTGGCTTACAAACTGTTGCTACCTTCCTGGCTAAGATTAGTTTTAAATTAATTTTGTCAACATCCTCTTTAGTTGGAAGTTTTAAGAGCATATACATCTTATATCTTTTATAATCCCACTGGGATAATACTTTTGTCAAAGATTGGTAATGAATACAGCCAATGATAAGCTTAATCATAACCTTAAAATCCCCTCTAGGATTCCAAGTTGTGAGTGGGACATTTTAGATGTAAATAATGCAACAAAAATAAACCCCAAAATGTTCTTAGCTTACCTTTCAATATAGTTTTTTTATTGTGTCACACAGTTGATAGTATTAAACAAGCAAGAAAATACACACTATATGTACAGTATTTGAATATGTATAAAAAAAATAGTATTTATAATTACGGTAGTGAATTTTCTGTCTATTAAATATTTTTTAATGTACTGAAATTAATAAAGTAAGACCTATACCCGAGGCAATTCTTTGTCATGTCCCCAGAAAAGAATAACCCATTTTATCGTTAAAAAAATTAAAAATATACCTTTATTTTAATTTGACTATTTGGTTTACTTAGTAGGCCTTAGTGTTGAAATCTTGTAAGTATTTTAATAAATAATTTATTTAATGCTTAAAAGGATACTCAGTTTATTGATGTCATATAATACCCCCCCCCCCTTATCACTCTGTTTTTCATATATATGTATGTGTGCGTGTCCATCCGTTAGCATGATAACTCTAGTAGAGTCATCCGGCTCATAAATTATTCTTGTTGGAAAGATTGTTAAGGTACGGTACATTGGGACATTACATTATTGCTATATTAACAATTAACATCAATCTTAAACGCAAATATTATTTCTGTCATTGTAATCATTACATAAAAATATGTAACAATATATTAGGCATTTTATACCAAAAAATAGAGTAAATCAAGCAAGAAAGTGATGTGCAATTTCTTTCTAAAGCTCTCAAATTTCTCATGCTTTGAAATAAATTTGAAAAAGTGATACTTATTTAATTGCTGACATAAATAAAAATGTGTAACGTGTCTAAGAAAATCTGAGCTAACTGATATCCATATCCATCATGGGGGAGTGAGCTGGTCTAGTGGTTAGAGCGCGGGACTTCGGTTCCAGAGGTCCCAGGTTCAAATCCTGCCAAATCACCAAAGAATTTAATCTATGTGATAATGCCGCAGCCCCTAGGTCTAGCCTGAAGTAATGTGAAAAACAATTCCGGGCTCGTGCCTAGCGTCCTAGGGCAAAAAAAATAAATATAAATATAAATAAAAATATCTACATGTTGCAGGAAGCTGATGATGGTTCAGTGTCGGGAACTCCTGGATACATTGATCCGAGCAGCTTCACATCCAAGGTGAGTTGGCAGTTTTACCCATTCAAATTTTCAATTTTCAATTTGATTTTTTTCGGAATGTTTCCACAAAACCAAAACAAAACTACATCCCAACTATATTCACAAGGTGAAATATTTTTTGATGTATGATTTGTAGCATGAGTTGAATGGTCAAATATTGGTTTTCTTGCGTTTTTAATCTCATTTTTTCAAGAAACCGTTTCAACCTTTTAGCCATCATCAGTTCCGATGGGTGCATGTTCTGGATGAGCCGTGAATGGCCAAAAAGTCAAAACACGTTTTCTGTGAAATATAGTATTGAAAACGGAAGAAAACAATAAAAAAACATCTCGTTAATATCTTGTATGGACTAAACAAAAAATCTCTCAAACCTTACTTTATTTTAGTTTTAATCGATGTTTGTGAAAAGTTTATCTTTAAAATAATACGTCAGACTTTAAATTGTTTGTGGGTGATGGTAAATTTGTATTTTTTTTTCAAATGCTGAAATTTTTCATCAATGAGTAATACAACACAAGATAAGAGTTGCTTCAAAATCTGGAATTTGATTCTATATTTGTCCAGTAAAATCTACAACTTGGCAAAATTAATAGACAACAGATTTAGTAACACAATACATTTCCTGAAAGCGACACAAGTTTACAACATTCACATTCAAATAAAAAAATCCAGTAAAACGTTAGGAGAAAGATCAAATTTTAAAAATCTCAAAAGCTTTAACAATTTTAAACCTTAACACAATTTTAAAAGTAACAAATTTTGTAGCTTTAACAAATTTTAAAAATCTCAAAAGGTAACAAGTTTTTTTTTTGCAGGTTACCGTCAAGGCAATATACGACTACCAGGCTCGTCACGATGATGAACTATCATTCTGCAAGCACGCCATCATCACCAACGTCAACAAGCAGGACGGGGGGTGGTGGAGGGGAGACTACGGAGGCAAGCGGCAACAGTGGTTTCCCTCCAACTATGTGGAGGAGATTGAACCTCAGAGAGACGAGCCTAGAGATGATACGGTAGAATCTATTACCTTTTACTTTGGACATTCTATTCAAATTAGCAAAATGATCATTTATTTTCTTTGAGTAGTTGTTTGAATTTCAAACGCTAGGATTTTCTTCACTTTCCAATGAATTTATGTCGTCAATCGTGGATCTTTGTGCAACATCTAATCTGTAGTTGTCGTGTTGAAAATATTCCTTGCTTCAAGTATTCTCGACTTACAAAATTGTATTTAAAGAAAAACTCTCCTTAAACCTGATTTTTATGTAAATAGCGTATGAAACATAAATCTGGTTATATAGTGTTATGAATTTGTTACCAAGATGCAATATATAAATAGTCCCCACTGCTATCTCCACTGGATAAGAAACTTATGTAGGAAGGTATATAACCCAAGCTGTATAAGATAGCTGCCTTCATTCTTTAAAAATATTCCACTAACCCTTTGAGCTTAATCTCTCCCACTTGCAGTTGCTTTACAGTAAAATGAAACATGGAATGTTGGAGCAAAAGGGATCTTCTATGACTTGTTTTTCTGTTACAGTCGACAGACTCAATGTTCCTGGGCAGTTTACAGAAGGGCAGCTTGGATGTGATGGGAGCCGTGGTAGAATTGGCGACTACCGGACGACCTGGGCTGGAATGGGTGCTGAGGATACAAGTGAGCATAGTCTAATTAGTATCGCAAGTCATATTAGAAACAACCATTAGGCTTGATTCATAAATAAAACGATATCAGCAAACTGACACAAACTTTCTCCCATTAGCTCTACATTGAAATTTTACATGCTACTACTTTTATGAGCAACAAATTTCAAACAATTAAATAGGGTGATTTAAGGAAAATACCTTGGGTATCGACACCAAGTTCTATAAAAATCAAATCACAGTTTTACTCTGTAGCTGTACATTGTTATGGAATTTTATAGGAAATTACAATAACTTTTGAGCTGTAATTTTTACAGTGATAGGTGAAATGATTTTGTTTATATGTTTGAAAGGACAAGGTTCTATGTTGGAGCCATTTTTGTAAAAATCAAATTTGTTCACTTTTTAAATTGGTTTTAAATTGGAAAAATCATCATTAAAAATCAGAATTTTAAACAAATTAAAAGAAAACACCCGGAAAAATATATACACAAAATTACCTCAAAATTTACTGGGCTAAAATGGATGTTTACAGCCAAAACTCAAAATTTGGACAAAATCAGTCCTTTCCCTCATACATTCTCCTCATGTAGGAGGAGAAATTAAAAACACAATAAATCCTATGAAGATATTCTTTTAAGTACCTATTTAAAAGTAATAATTCTTAAGAACTCTTATGATCTTTTCAAAAATTTTTCCAATTTTGTGATTTTCATAAACTCAATTTTGCAAGCATAAGGTCGATCATAGTGTTTCCACATTTCATACAACTTTTGATAACAGGCCGAATGTAGTTTTTAAATAATGTTTCCATTCCATGCATTTGGCCAACGTTAAAAGCATATAAATAATTGCCCCATAAGTATTTAAAAATAGACTAATCAATTATAGATGGTGGTTTTAATCCTAAGGATTGACATTCAATTACAAACAGTTGTATTTTCATATTTACCCTATAAATTCCATTTGTAAATTTTGGATATGTTAAATTTTTCACTCACCCATAATCTGTAGTAGCTTATATAGTTTAAAAAACTTACTGTCCAAGTTTGTCCAGGTCCGTTCAGTTGAGATTGATTTTGTCATTGACTTTTTATTATTTAGTTTGTACTAAGGCACACATAATTTGTCATTTTTACATATACCCACTCAATTTTAATTTTGATGAACCAGACTTTTTTTAGTTAGAACTAGAGGCCGATTTCAATGTGTCCTAAGGAAAGGAAGTCTACTGTTCAAATTTTTCAAACCCAGTCAGGATGGCTTAGAATAGAGACATTGGTTTTTTACTTAACTACTGTTTTTTAAAGTCATAATTTCATCATTTTGTACTTATTTGTTGACACTTTGCCAGGTTCCCAACATGTGCAGTGTGTTTGAGGTGGCTGTTCCCTCAGAAGACCAAGCCATTGAGTGGATGACGGCAATCAAGAAGACGGCTCAAACCGCCAGTGACCGGGTCTGTAGTTCTGTGATGCTAAGTATAGACTTAAGCCTTCTTCTAACTCAATTTGGACACTCTTCAGACTTATTGCATACTCAAAACCAACAAAAATGTTTCTTGTGAAGAAATTACATTTACATTAAATAAATCTTTTCTATGTTTCTCAAAGTACATCTCGTACTTAACTTTCAGGAATTTTTAACTTTTTAACTAATCTTGCATTCATAATTCACAGTGGTGAATATGAACCATATTGAATTTCAACCCGATTACTCATAGGTCAAGATGATTTTTCCAGGAGATTCAAAACAAAGAGATGGAACGGACGTGGAGGATTGCGAAGGAGATGTCAAACCTGATAATTTACTGCAGATCTGTAGCTTTCAACATGGACAGGATACGAGTGAAGGGGTTCATATACAATGAGATGAGTTCCTTCCCAGAGACTAAGGCTGAGAAAACCATATGTCAGCAAGAGAGCAGATTCTTCCTCAAATACCACCAGGTAAGGCATCCAGCCTAGAGATAATCTTAAGATGAAGATAAAACCAAAGAACATTAATTTGTACTGTCTTTACTTACTAGACTGTAAATATACAAGAGATGCCTGAAAATTTCTGTGAAAGGTATCCGCGATACAGTTGTTGCCTAGCGAGGTAGTTCAAATGTGACACCAGTGTTGTTTCTGAATCTTCCCCGCCACAATTCTGGCCGGTCTGAACCCCTATGTGACCGTTTGAGTTTTGTCGTAGCCGATAATTATGTGAGAGAAAATCTACGCTTCCGCCAAGTACGAAGCCAAAAATCTGTGGTCTGAGAGGTCAACTGTTATACACTAGTAATGATAATATTCTTAATAGTCGTGAAAGGAGAAAAGTGTTTCAACACAACAAATTGTTTTTCAGAAGTAGATGCGTTTGGATATGATTAACATTTGCACAATGTTGATTTGGTGTAGGCCAGTTGCAGCCGTTCATTTTTTTAGAGGCAGGTATTAAAAGTATTAAAGCAGTGACCAAAGTTAGGAATATTTTGTTGCAAATTACAGTGTGACTGAACAGAAATTGCCTAATGCCTACATACTAGCAAAGAACATCAGCAAATGAGAGTACATACAATTTCAATGAGGACTAAAATCCTACTATCTTTATAAGTGTGTTTGTTTTGTATAGTTTGTAATTATTATTGTTGATTCAGTTCCAGTTTAGCAGAGTCTACCCCAAGGGTCAGAGGATAGACTCTTCCAACTACAACCCCATACCCTGCTGGAACAGTGGGTGTCAAATGGTCGCTCTCAACTACCAAACCCCAGGTAATCCTCTGGCTTGTTATTCCTTGAGGGGAAGCGCTTTCATCGCCTTCACCTTACCCTAACTTTGAAAACAGCCAAAAGCTAATCAGTTGTTGTATCAGGCTGTCCAAAACACAAAACCGTCCAAATTAGGGTTTTGAAAATGTCCAACGACCCCCCCCCCCAGATATTTTTAAGATGTTTGAATCGTCCGTTTTTCAAGAATCTGTAAAAGCCTAGCTTCTCGATCGACCATTGTATTCGGTCAATGATTATTTTGATGCGTTGGACCGAACAGAGGCTCAACGCCATCTTTTCCAAATAACGTTGTAAATAGTATCTTTATTTTTGAAACAGTGTATCCAGAAATTCTGGTCATCGCAGGAGGTATTAAGGTACAGCATACATTCTTGTGTAGTTTAAAGAAAAAGTTCTGTAATGAATTACTGTCTGAATTTTTTTCTACCTCATCATAAAACGTGCTAATGTACCGAATACCCCTAGGCTCTTTTGAAACTATTTTTCTAGTCACGTTATGTAACATATGTATTTGCAGACAAACCTATGCAGCTGAACCAAGCCAGGTTCAGGCTCAACGGAGGCTGTGGATTTGTACTGAGACCAGAGGTCATGTTTCGTCCGGACTATGATCCCCTCGTCCCCCCTCCTCCCTTTGTGGCGAACTCTATCTCTGTTTCTCTGAAGGTCAGTTGTCTTCTGTGTTAATTTGAATTGTTTACAGTTAATTAATTTATAGTTGTTGCTATTATAAATGGTAAATATATAGGTTACTAACCTTGGTGAGAAAAATTTTATGTGTCCATCGACATTTTTAAAAACTTGAAAACCCATACCGATACAATTTTAAACAATAAGTACATATAGAAAGTAATATGTATGATTATCATCAACGCTTACACCTACCGACCAGTACACATTAAATGTGCACTTTAAATGTTTTGTTCTTTTTGTGTACGTTTCGGATTATTACACCATTTAATGCTAAAACTCAAATTTCAGAAACGACAGATTTATTTATTCATGAATATTGTATTTTTGTATTATACATTTTTTCAACAATGAAAGATTAGTTTATGTAGTACACTACTCCAAACCAATATTTCTAAAACTTTTAAAATTTAAAAACATAACAAGTGATGGTTTATTACCTACACCTATGCTGATAAAAACAATAGCAATGCAGCAGTTGTTTCTAATTACTAAATAAAATCTGTATCTATTTCAAACATAGAAATTTTGCTTTTTTAAGCTGTGGATTCACATCCTAGGATGCTAGTTCTAGCCCGAAACTGTTTTACACATTACTTCAGGCTAGTCCTAGTGGGTTGCGGCATCATCACATTGATAAAATTCATTATACCACTCAGTATCATTATCAGTATCAGTTTCATTAGTGATTGGCAGGATTTGAACCCGGGACCTCTGGCTCCGAAGCCCCCCGCTCTAACCACTAGACCAGCTCGCTCCCCAAGCTGCGAACATTTGAAAACAACAGACATTTCTGTGGACAGTCATTACAAAGATCGTGTAATCTAGTTTTGAGAGCAAATTATTTTGTTCTAGGTGATAGCGGCGAGACATCTGATAAGGTCAGGTAGAGGAACCACCAGCCCCTTTGTAGAGGTAGAGGTGCTCGGAGCGGACTACGATTCTGGCACCAAGCTGACTACCAAAACTGTCGGTGAGTATTGAAGAATAAAATAAAATTTTTATGGTCCATAGTAACAGGAAGAGTAAGCTTGCACTCTATTGTACAACACAATTCTAGATTCGAAAGTACATAATAAATTCAAGCGTAAAATATGTACTAATTTATATCAGGTATTCTCCGAACCTAAGGAGCAATTGTGAAAATGCAGCACATACGCATTTAATTCTTAAGGTCTTTTTATCAGACTGAATAGAGCGCAGAATTATAAGGAAATGCACACCCTATTTTTTCAAACAAGTTAATATATTTAGGTAATTGCATTATGCAAAATTAAATATAGCTTCATGAACAAATTTTTAAGATTAAATACATAATATTAAATAAAATCTAGTACCAACAGCTACATTAACTTTTATCTTTTTTTAAGCTACAAAAGAATATCCAATGGTATGAAAAAACTGGCTAGCATAATTTCTTTACTACTGAGTTTAAAGGTTTTTCTCTTTACCTACCAAGTCATACTTTGGCATATAACATTTTTGTTTCTTCAAAGCATTTTGTTTCAATAAACATATCGTTGCAGCTGACAACGGTTTGAATCCGGTGTGGAATGACTCGGTCAGTTTTGAGGTCATGAATCCATCCCTAGCTCTGCTGAGGTTCCAGGTACAGGACGAAGACATGTTTGGGGATTCAAACTTCATCGGACAAGCGACGTACCCTGTGAGTATCAGAGAGCAAAAGTAATGTAATTTACTTAACATAGGAACTTCAGTGTTTTGGACTTGTCCCAAAGTAAAATAGTTTTCTGTGCTGCATTCTGTGGAAACAGTGTGGCACTATTTCAAATCATGACTAATACAGATTGTTGTGATTATTCAAACCTACAAAACAGTTCTAGTGAATCTGTTTTTAAATTACATTTATTTGTAAACATTGTAGTTCCAAAAGTCTGACATTGGACTCTTTAAAACCCTCTGAGGCAGAGCCATTTTGACGGATCTGCACCAAACTTCACACAAATCATCCTTGAATAATGCTTAATTATGCCTGAAAGTTTCATTACAATCTCTCGAGCGGTTTCGGAGTCCATAGGGTATATACATACATGCTTCCTCTTTTATAGATATAGAGAGATTGAACAACAAAGTGTGCCTGGTAATTATTTTCTTCAGTCAAAGACAAAATGTGTCGTGTACATTCTCTAGCCGAGTGTTACGATTGCAGATGGTTGCGTTGAGGACGGGCTACAGAAGTGTGCCACTGAGAAATGGTTTCTCTGAAGAGATGGAACTTTCTACCCTCCTTGTCCACATCTCTATAAAGAATGTCAAGGTAAGTAGCACAACTGGTGGTCAGTTTATATTAGCCTTTTTAATGTCATAGGCATTTTAAAAGATTTTTGTAAGGGAATGGTCTAAACTCTACTCTTGTTATCGTCTCACGTTGGTCGTTTGAGGTTGAGGATATAACATGGAGCACAGGGGTCTAGATTTTGAAGTTATTTGTTAGGAAAGCATTCTTACCTGAATGTGAAAGAGTACAATTGGCACAAGATACACATAATTTAACACTACACAAAATATTGGATTAGAATATTTCCCTGTCACTGACAGAATTTTTAACTAAGGAAGAGAGAGTTTTCTTCAGCTCCAATATGGTGTCAAGGGAGATAGTGTCGCCAAAATTATACTATTGTCAATGGTATGTACTGTTGCCAATACTATTTGTGTCTCGTGCCAGTTTGGAATGGGAATGATCACATTCAGGTGAGCCTGCTATCCTCACAAAATATCCTAAAAACCTTCTTGACCTTTTTAGGCACCATCATATTAACAGTCCAATGACAAATTTGATCTGGGTTTAGAATCAATTGATTATGATTGAAAGTGAGAGAAGTGTAACCATTAGTTTTTAGAAGTGTGCAACACTGATGGTGAATTAATATTCCTGACTGCCTCAAAACTAAAATTCCTTTGTGCCCCAGTGACCTTTTTATTTGTATAATTCTTGGCTTTTCAAGTAGTACATTTAAACAAATATCATAACACAATTAACACTGTGCACAGTGAGCACTTTTTCCTATCAACGGGAGATATCGTTTTGATATAGTTTTTGATCGTACGGACCACTCGATTCTTTATTGCACAGCCGATACCGAAGAGAAAGAAACGAAAGAACAATCAAAGCTTTTAAGACCATTCAATAGTCGATCAAAGATTTTTATTTTACGAACTGATATCCTTCCCCGTGGACGGATGTCCTTATTCCTCAGCTCACCAAACTGAGGCTGCCAGATGTTCATCCGTCTACCTGCGTTTGCGCACTAGCACCTTTTACTACTGCGCATCTTTTTGTTTGGGGTTTCACTCACAAAGCGAACTGTAATAATTTGGCTTTGAGGAGGGTGCTAGTCTAGTGGTAGAGTGTGGGGCTTTGGTCCCTCAAATCTTGGCTTTAGTCATGCCAATCACCAATGGATTTATTTAAGCGATAATGCTGCCGCAACCCACTAAGCCTAGTCGGAAGGAATGTTAAAACGGTTCTGGGATGTAAAGGTGGGATATAAACATGTAATATTTGGCAAATGAGTTTTATCTGAATGATGGTTTTTTTACGTGTCGACAGGAGGGAGGAAGTGAGTTTGACACCCCAGTGACTGACTGCTGATCCAAGACTGACTGGCTCCAAGATGGGCAAACTTTACCTCAGGTTATGTTTCCTGTATGGTTGCTATTTAAACATTTATTTATCGTATTTTACAATTTTTAAAGTATTCTCATTGGAGTTAAACTTTGACGGTTGTGCTTTCAGGTCTTGATGTTTATTGTCTCAGATGTTGAACTTTACAATATTTTATGGAGGGATCTACTATTTCTCTATCTCTCTTCCCATATCAGTATAGACTTCAAGAATTTTTTATCGTAAAAGAGTAAGAAACAAAATCAATCAATACAACCTTTGACTATTAATACAACTAGACATTTCATCTCATGTTAAAGTTGTCGCCAGTTTTGTAATGAGAATTGTCGTAATTGATGTGAGCAACCATAAGATGATTTGATTTGATGCTATTGTAAATTACTAATTTCTGTAGAATAGGCAAACTTGTTTACCAAGTCAATTTGAAGGAACGACTTATTGTGAGCTATAGCAGTAATATGCCACAATCTACAAATATATTAGAAAATAGAATTCAATAGCGCATTCTGTGACTGGTCTCACACAAAATATACTTAAAAATTTGGCAGAGGGGGTGTCTAATTCAGTATCCAATAGTCAACGGTACAACCAAACCAAGCAATCAAATAACAAGACAAAAGGTACAAGTTCTTTTAAAGTAAAATGAAACTAAATGAATCAAACTTTTTTTATTGGAATTATAACTTTCAGTAGAATCACTAAATTGCAAACAAAATCAAATAAAAACTCAGATAAATACCCTACCTAATGTAGTGTGAATCCTAATCATATATAGTGCAGATTTAAAATGTTTATACCAAATGAATTATGTGTTTGTCTCTAATAGGGTAAATTGCAATTTTAGAATTATTTATGTTTATGTATATTTGTGTTAGTTAATTAAATGTATGTGTAAGTTTGGATGTAATTTCCACGCTCTCTTTATATAGTCATTGTTATGATCAACTTGTTAGCTCTTTAAGAAAATATTTGACTAGGAAAAAGAAACCTTGATGTTAAGGCAAATAAATGTAACATACATTTCTACATTTGATCTATTTCAGTATTAAAATTTAACGGGGTGGTGGTCAGAACGCATTGGGCTTGGAAGACCAAACACGCGTTGGGTCCATAACCAACGCCTTTTAGCGTTGAACGTACAAATCTAAAAACCACTTGAAGCTTTTGATATATCTAAAAGCTTTAAATAACAGGTTTATTTAGTAAAAATATTCTACATTGGAAAGCAACCTCTAAAAATACAAAAAAAAGAACAATACATTTTCAAATACTTTTTTAGTTACCATATTGGGTATGTTTATTCGCCTTGCCAAATTGAAATTGTAATAATCTATCAATACCACAATGTGCTTCCATTAAATTTAGTTAAGTATATTAGTATAGTATAGGTTTAAACATTTAGATTTCATCTGTGTTTGTTTTGCATTTTTCATCATCAAAAATAGGGGTGTCAATTGTCATGCTTGGTATTAGAACAAATTTATTTTTAACACTCTGTGTTGGCCAATGCTGCAAACTATTCTTACAGTTGTTGTTCTATAGAGTATATCTAAATTGTACTGAAAAATCTCAAGACTTCCAAAGGTATACTTTAGTACAGGGTGTTCTTTTTTTCTAAACCCAAATTACAAGTTAGTACTGTGAGACATAGTTCAACTACAAAATAAGCTCATATTTTGGTGTCCCTGTTTTCTTTACTTCATTACCTATCAGCTGATATTGAATCATTGTATATTTATGATATTTATTTGGGAATTTATTGTGAACAAGACTTAACGTTGTGTCATAGACTAACGAACACAAGTAGAATTCATCCCGTCCCATTGTAAATTTTGAAGCTCGTTTTACGTCTCTAGTTAGTTCATGTCTGGTGACAATGACCGCTAGTGTCGACGAAATTTTGTTTATATTATTTTAGGGTTAATTTCATGATTTGCGCCTTATTGTTTGGTTAATATAACTATTGGACGAGTTATTGTTTACGATTAGATAGTTTTATTTGGTTAAACGAGGTTTTACATGACTAAAATAACAAGAAACTAATTGTAAACAAAACACAACCTCTACAGTGCACCGGACAGAACTAACAATAAAATTGGCTTCAGCTGTTCCATATGGGTTAGAATCTATCAAGGGAGTACGTTTTATCATAGACAAAAAGAATGAAATATAATATAGACTGTCAGCCGTGCTGCGGTTACCATAAGTTCCGGCGCACACCGCTGTAGTTTACGTAGCACGTACCCTGTAACTACCGTGGAGATCCCAGCGGTGTGCGCCAGAACCTATGGTAACCGCAGCACAGCTGACGGTCTATATTTAATTATTTTTGTCTATGGTTTTATCTATGGTTGTGTTTTCACAAGCTCATAGAATACAGAAAAATATATTATAAAAACTAAATTATTGGTTTTATTCCAAGAAAGGTTTGAAATTACGTTTCCATGTGTGATTTTAGTACATGATAAAACTATTTTATTTATTCATAGACTTGTAAAAAATTTAAGGGGACTGGATTTCTAAAAAAAAACAAGAAAACGTCTTATCCATTATAAACTTCCAATAACACTAAACCTCATAAATAACTATGTAGCAATGCATATCAGCTAATCAGCCAATATAACCAATAAAGTGAAGAAAACAATGGTACCAACTTAAAAGTAATTTTCTTTCTACCAACATCAATGTAATTTTCTTACTGTTAAGTGGCTATGACTTTGGGAAATAAATAAATGAGCTTGTTTTGTCATTAAACATGGTCTCACAGTAGACCTACTTGTAATTATTTGGGTTGCATTAAAACACACGATATTACTATGTAGAGAAGAACAAAGACATTTACTTATTCGTAAAATTACACACTGTACAAGTTTACTGTGGTTACTGTTACTGTAGTAAATATTCCATTGCCATAACCTCAAATAAATTTTACAGCTATAATGTATCTCTTGGTTCTCCGAAAACAAGAAAGAATGGTTTGTTACCACTACCGGGAAAATCCACAATAGATATTCTTCATAGCTTACTAGGCATCAGAGGGGATATATAAATAGGAATACTGTAATAAGTTTCAACTTGCTGGTTTTTTTAAACTCAATAGTGTTTCCAGTTGTCAAATCACTTTTTATGTATACACCGGTAGTTAAGGAAATTAATTGGTTATTTAATTCAACTTCCCCATGTTAATTGTTTAAGAAATGAAACAGTTTTATTTAACCTAGAAATAATCATAGTCTCAAACTTCACAATCAATTTTTGTAAATTTTTAACCTAGTTAAGAAGGTGACTAAACTGTTTCAGGTCAAATTAAATTTAAGTTTAAAACTAGTGTTTTAAAAATAATGTTTTTGTTTTTATACTTGTCATTTGTAGGATAAAATGTTTATTTTATTAACATTTTATCAATGATATAGTATCTATGGGGTTTTTGATTGCTTTCAGTTAAGTTTCCATTTCTTTAAACAGAGTGAGATTCGTGCCTGAAGTTTGTATGAATGACAACAGTTTGCAACTATCCTGCCGCTTAAGTTTTAAAAGAAAACCAGATGTGGGGTATTGATACCCAGCATATGTGCCTCGTATTTTTTAAGGGGTGGCAATTTGGTAAAAGTGCACAATAGTTTAAACAATGAACATAACATGCAACTGTCTTTGTTTGAAAAGCTTTTACCAATACAGAGGAAGAATCAGAGAATGTTCTCATATTGATAACTGTTTCAGGTTCAGGTATACCATAGTTTGTAGTGTGTTAGGAAGGGCTGTCATCTAAAACTACCTGATTTGAATATAGTAAGTGGTTGAAGAGCGAGTGACAATGGATCCACCTTAGATGCAATGTGAATTAGAGAGTCCATGATTCAGTCGGGAGCATAACAGACTGCAAAAGCAAGGCAGCGATGTGGATTTGCGTTCCATTCATCAGTACAGTTGCTTGCAATGTGTCCATTCTCCATTTGCTTAGCTTCATCTCTCCCATACATAGGCCTGTGGCCCACATGGATGGACAAATTCGGGAATAAAGGAAACAAACCTCTCAGAGGTGCCCATCCCCCCCAAACCCAGAGGCGCAATCCCCCCCCCCCCCCAAGCCAAAGGAGTAGTTCTCCCCCTCAATTTATGCTGCCGTCTATTTAAAACTACCCTCCCCCCACCAATTTATCTGAAAATTTGTCCTTTACCTCATAAAACGAGCATTCCAATTAAGTATTTAGTAAACTTGAGGTAAAGAAAAACAAACTTGCTGATAATAAAAATAAAATGTTTAATAGGAAACGTTAACAACATTTAACAATACTTCATTAGGTATATCTAACTAATGGACAAATTAGAAGTGTTTCAATTTACATTTCGGAATCTCTATTGTCAACTAACATGTGCTCAGTATTGCAATAGACAACGTCTTCAAAACGTACGACAATATAGGCCCTACTAGGTGAATTACTCTACTCCAACACAGTATTGTAACTGTACAATATATTAGGTGGCGTTAATTTTTACAGAAAAAGAATCTCAGAGAAGAATTTTAAGAAATCAAACAGCTTTAAAAATGCATTAATAATACTTAGGCAAAAAAATTTTTTTTTCAAAATTATAGACAGTCACGAAATAAGACAGACTTGTTGCTCGCCACTCCCTGGCTCTATAAACACCGCCACTCCAAACAACACACTCCAAAAACTCGATTTTACTCTACAAAAATCGCCAGGCAAAATACACACAAAAGGTTTTTGTGACGAAGTAATCTTATAATTAATTTTGATAGCCCCAGGATTGCCTTTTATGACTAATAATGGTAGAAACGCATCTTGTCAGACAATCTGTTTATACATAAAACACGAAAGAAAACAGATAGGCCTATCAATTCACGTGTGTATATTGCCGCGGGCAGGACTGGAAGTAAACTGAATCAGGTTATGACGGAAAGACGTGGTCTCTGGATTGTCGTCTGTGTTAACAAAAGCTGATATTGGACTAGTTGTAGTGACGGAGGAGAGTGTTGAAAATATAATGGGATTCATAATTGAGTTTTCCATTTAAAATTATTGACAATAATAACCAATTTATCCTGCTGGATATAAATTATGGTCTCGAAATTCTACAGTACTGCTCGAAAGGAAATTTATTAAATACTTTGAGACATAAACCTAGGGACAGCGCAAAATCTTTGAGTGAAAACACTCAATTAATTATGAATCCCATTATACTTTTAACACTCTTCTCCTTCTCAGTCACTACAATAGTCCTATATCAGCTGGTGAAAACGCAGACGACAATCCAGAGACCACGTCTGTCCGCCATAACCTGAACCTGATTCAGTTTACTTCCAGTCCTGACGACGGCAATATATACGCGTGAATTGATAGGCCTATCTGTAATCGATTCGTGTTTTGTGTGGTGGAGGTAAAGAACCACCAAAACATATGTAGCAAATAAAATTCGACACTGACACTGGTATATTAAGGATTGTCTGACAAGGTGCGTTTTTACCATTCTTAGAAGCAAATCTTAATTACGAATGGCAAAATGTTGTTGGCGTTGATAGTGAGCTACTTAGAAACACTATTTCAGGCTGCTTATACAAAATTATTCATTCATTAAGACAGCTAGCAAAAAAATATCCCCCCCAAAATTCCCTCAAAAAAAGTCCCCCCCAAAAATTCCTATGGCGCAAACGCGCCACAGTACCCCCCCTCTGGGCACCCCTGAAACCTCTTAAAAAGCATAAAAAAATACTGTAAAAGCAACTGCGGTTGTTATTCAAAGCAGTGTACCATTGAAATCGTACACTGATAATTCTTTGTCCTACTGTTTCAGCCCGTACGTATCTTATCATTTAACTGATTCAGAGCAGTTATATAATTTTTTTTTGGTTTCTTTACCGGTAGTCTTTGTTTTGTAGAGTTTCGCTTGCTGTGCTTTGCCAGAACGCATCTATTGCATGCTGCAAAAACAACTTTACTTTCTTTTAAACTTAACAGTTTATTCTTTCTAGATAACTGACCCCACCTTTCTTTGTGATTTAATAAACACGGTGGTCTTCCTTACCTTACTTCCTTGGCCACTGAAACCTAAGCAGTATTTTTACCTTGCTAACAATACTCTTCTGTTCTATCCCTAAATTTAAAAATTCAAATACTAGTTAACTTTTTAGTCCCCACCAAAATTTGATATTTTATCAGAGAAATCATCAGTAGTTTATCATCACCAATGTTTTGTTCTGAGTTATTTGTTTTTAAATTTGGAACTTAAAAGTTAACTGAATGAAAATGGCCCGATTAAGATTTGTACAATGTTGTCGAATTAGGAGTTACAAATATCTATGAAACTATTTCTTAAGTCTAGTGTTGTATTTAAGTTACCTAATTTTACATTAGGGTATAATTCACTACTTGTAAATATTGAGTGCAACATAAACTTTGTATAATTCATTAAAAAGTAGAGAGATATTTTTATTTAAACATGAATGATGGTGCTAATATTGTTTATTGTACAGGTGAAAAGATATATTTATAATTTTATCATGCTTTGATATGAGAAAGCTTTAAGGAACACAATTTTCCCCTACAAATTGTAGTATACATTATTAATATGGTTTACATCAAAAGATTTTCTGAACAACCTGTAAAAAGAAATCTAAATTAAATTACTGGGTACAGAAGCCCAGATAAACTAGATTCAGATTATAAATTAATGCTCTACTGTAGTTGTTCATCGATTTAATGTTTGTAATGCATTTTGGTTTAAGTTTAAGAAATATATTTGCTGAATTGATTGCTTGCTGAATACATTACACCTCTAAGTTATTTATTTAACACATTTCTTTACTACTTAGGTTTTATTTGATTTACTTCTTGAAATACTTTTTTTTATAAAACTATTGTGTAATTTTATGTATAGATGTATATTACATTTTGTAACCTATATTGCAACTGTTTGTGCCTTAAGTAGTATTTTTATATTTATCAATTGAGCCTGAGGACAGTAAAGTTGTATAAAACTATTTAAATAGTTGTCAAGTTTCACAAACTATACAATCATGTTTCTGTTTGTTTACTTTCTACCTGGAAACTGTCTCTAAATATTTGATCAAAGCATTTTATGTAACTATGTTAAAAGTTGAAAACTATATACATGTTAGTATTATGATTACTGAATCTGCAAGATTGTATCAATAAAATATTTTATCTACCTTGCATTAGTTTATTATTCACTTATTTTTCATTCCTTCTTGTAACTACGTGGGTAAACACCTTTATCTTATTTAATTAATTAATTTTTTATATAATTTTTTTGGATCTAACTTTTAATGTTGGGTTTTTTTTCTAGTTAACTTGTAGTTCTTACATATCTGTTGTATTCAGATAAGATGCATGTTGAACCAACCTGAATATGTTTGCTAAATCCTAATAAATTCCTTAAACCCTTTTCTAGTGTATTTCCCTTTGGGTAAATCACACCGAAAGCGAAGTAGCCTAGGTTTAAAGGTAACAGCTTGGTGTAGGACGGCTAAACTTCGCTTTGTTTCGTGAAAATGTACACCGTTTGTTAAATTGTAAGGAGGGTGAAAATTGTCACTGTTTCTCAGCAATGCATTAACTTATCAACATTTTTTGCTGGCCAATAACTGGCGAGTTACCAAGAGTTGGTAAAGTGTAAAATGATGATTAGTGTAACCGGTAACAATTTAATAAGGTTTTAACAGGCAATAGGTGTTTTCATTGAATCAAAGCAAGACACACTAAAATGATATTTATTTACAATTAATCAGTGAAAGGTACAACAAAGCACTAATCCTTATTAGTGGGTTTGGATTCATGAAACATGTCTGTTAAGTCTTTTGGAACACGAAAAAAGTAACTAAAGAAAAATGTTTTTCTGTTACCACTTAGAACATAATGACTGTCTTGCACCATCACATAGAACGGGTTTCTAAACTTGGTCGGGTTAGCACTTGTGAAATGTACTTGTCTCAAAATTGGGAGGAAAGGATTTAAATAAACACCTATGTATTCCTTTTTTGAGGCATGCTTGTAAATTCTGAAGGGATATTTTAACATCAGTGAAGAGCCAGCAACCACTAATGATACGAGCGCTAAGGAGAAGACCCAAAGTTCTTGTTCGGGATACATGAATTTAATATTACCCTTACCTACAGGCCTTCCCATTTCTAATTCGTCTTTATTGTAATGTCTGTAAACAACCAGTCCCAACAAGCCAGCACCCATGGATATAAGCACTGGGTACCCAATTCTGAACGTTAACTCCCATGTTGCTTTGTAAATCAAATGATAGTCAGGTGGAACATTATCTTTCGATTTCAGCTTCGATATACGTTTCTTCCCTTGGTCTATCAGTTTTCCAAAGTCTTCAAGTCTGCTATTCACAATTGGAGATCTATGAAATTGCCTCATAGAGTGAGTAAGTGTGCTGCGAGGGAAGCTCTTAGGGATCCAATTGAATCTATTCACAATTGGAGATCTATGAAATTGCCTCATAGAGTGAGTAAGTGTGCTGCGAGGGAAGCTCTTAGGGATCCAATTGAATCTATTCACAATTGGAGATCTATGAAATTGCCTCATAGAGTGAGTAAGTGTGCTGCGAGGGAAGCTCTTAGGGATCCAATTGAATCTATTCACAATTGGAGATCTATGAAATTGCCTCATAGAGTGAGTAAGTGTGCTGCGAGGGAAGCTCTTAGGGATCCAATTGAATCTGCAGAGTAATCTGTTACACATCACCAGAACACCTACAGCCATATTTCCAACACCTGAAAGTAATAGGAAATTTTTTTACTTTAAACTAGTAGAAGGTAAACGTTTGTTATAAATCATTATCAAATTCAGCCTATATAACAACCAACAATAAGCCTACCCTTGACTTAAACTTTTGACAAATGGCCTTATGGTCTAAGTTTTTAGTGGATTATGTGCATTTTGGCATAAATGCCATTGTCAGATTCATTTAAGGTTTTTCTGTACGGCGGACAAGGCCGCTAGGGTGGTCTCCTCTCTTAGCCGGTTGATGGCCAATGTCGAAGGGCCTCGGTCCAGCCGTAGAAGGCTGTTAATGTCTTCTATCCAGTCCATATTCTTGCTAGAAGAGGTGTGTCAAAAGTTCACAAACAAAATATGTAAAACACTAAGTTAGTCGACTGCACAGAGAAGTAAGATAAGTTACAGAGGAAACATTCAATCGTACACATAAGTGATGTATAGGGCAATGACCCCCTCAGTCTCCTGCTCTACAACGATCACGAAGGAGGAATACCTTGGGCCCTGTGTGATTTTCACACGGCTCGCCGTTCAGGCTCTCCCTTCCTTGTCACAAGTAACCTATATTTCTGCCCCAACCTACTCGAAACCATAGCTGAAAGCGCATTGTTGTCCCATAAGCTTATATCCTCTGTACCTTAATTTATCTCTGTCGACCTCATTTTGAATTTAAATCAAAATAGATTTCTTTCATGAGTTTTTCTTGCACAGGCAAGACATATGGAAACGCGTCAGACGTGTGTCGACTTCTCGACACATGTCTGGCGCGCCTCCATATCGTCGTCCTTGCTTTATTACGTCCTGGCATAACTAACTTATTCCCAGTTTTTTTGCTGTATTTAATTGTACTTATTTTTTGTATTTAGTTTAATTGTAATCTGGAACCCCTCATCTCTGTCGACCTCATTTTGAATTTAAATCAAAATAGATTTCTTTCATGAGTTTTTCTTGCACAGGCAAGACATATGGAAACGCGTCAGACGTGTGTCGACTTCTCGACACATGTCTGGCGCGCCTCCATATCGTCGTCCTTGCTTTATTACGTCCTGGCATAACTAACTTATGCCCAGTTTTTTTGCTGTATTTAATTGTACTTATTTTTTGTATTTAGTTTAATTGTAATCTGGAACCCCTCTAACTAACTTGGTCAATAAGGTAGGTAACGTTGGTTGGGATAAATTAGTTGATCCTAGTCAGTTACAAAACTACACTGATCATCTTGCTCTATTCATTATTTATTATTATCTCCGGTTCCGCCTCCTCATGTATGACACTACAGAGGGCCCACGGACGATGAGTGTCACTTCTGGTGCTGCCCAAGGTTCCATACTCGGCCCAGACCTAGCTGGAATGTCGTGTATAACAGCCTCCTGAGGTCTGAAATGCCTTGAGGAAACTGTTTTGGTTGGGTATGCAGATTATAGCTGCACATAGCGTTGAGCTGGCTCAGCTAAAGCTGAACCGAGTTATGCGTAACATAAACGCATGGATGACAGACCACGGTCTCTCGCTTGCTTTGAGCAAAGCTGAGATCGTAATATTTACAAAAAAACGGATTGACACCATCAGTTGAGGGTAGGGGCCGTCGAAGTCCAGACCGTTCGTTCTGCCAAGTACCTTGGGGTTATGGTGGACAGCAAGCTTAGCTGGCGGGATCAGATTTCCGTACGGCGGACGAGGTGGACTTCCCACCTCACCCAATTTCTGATGGGTCACGGCTTTTTCCGGTCGTACCTGTTCAGATGGGCAAAGCCGTGTCACCCGATTGCATATACATTACAGTACATCCAGGGTATTCTCCGCACCAAGAAGCTCGACCTTGACCGGGATGCGGTGTAGGTCATAAAGTTTATCTAAATGCCAAAAACGGTGAGAGCACTGAGGGCTTAGGTCACATGTTGGCCTGACTTAAAGTATAATGTGACAAACAATTCCAGGTCTGTGTCCAACAGAGTAGAAGGGGTTTTTAGTGAGTAGTCTGTGATAGATTCAGGAGTCTCACACGACAGGCTGGCTACCTGTGTGCGTAAAAGCATTTTCCCTCCTCTCCCTTGAAAAAAATCTCGCTCCATTCTACACTCATTAAATTTGGGTAAAAGTATGCACCTAGGTGGTGTCCCCATCTCGATTGATAATGAATAATCCTCTAGGCCTAAGTAATGTTAAGTTTGTTTCAAATAATTAAACGTTTTAGTAGGACTATTATCTACTTAACTATCGTACTGAGCAATAACTTACCTGAGCTTTCTTTTCAATCTAGGCCTAGTAAAATTTCAGTACAAACTCAGCCAGCCTGTATAATTGGGTAGACCTATTATTGGGTACAACTATTATTGGGTACATTTACAATTGCATGGTTTTAAACTGTGAAAGCATAATGTTGGCTAAGATTTAAGATTGCTTGAGACTTCAAACAATTTAAGGCCTGCTACTTACTGGAGTTAAAAGCTAAACAGTGCTAAATGTGCATACATTTGATACTTTTTGGCTATCTAAAAGCAAGAAGACATAAACTTAACCTAAACCACAAGATTGAAGTTTGCCAGTTTGCCTATCCATCCTTTGTATTCCGTTTCCGTCGTCCGTCGTCTGTCGTCTACTCCTGCTGCTCAGCTGCTCGAACATTAGTTTTGTTTTGGAGGGCTAGCCATCTGTCTAAGCAGTACAAAATGAAAAAAAAAAACATCAAAACAGGTGACATTGATGTCAATGTCATATGTGATGACTGATAAAAAAAACCATTCGCAACCTCAACTCAACTAAAAAAAACAAGACGTAGACGATAAGGATAAGCAGACCGCAGACCAGCAGACGATACGGGTACGATTCTACGATTACGACGATAGTGTTAGTTGGCCTAGCAAAGAGGTGGACTTTTATTTTTGCGAATTTTTATTTATTTAGGCTAACACAACAAATAAGTTACAGCAACTACCACTCATTTACTCTCTTCTTATTTACTTCCCATCCGATTTCTTAGATCTCGCACACTTAGTTCCGTGTTTGGAGAACCAATAATATAGTGCATTTTTATGGTGATATTTTGGCTAGCATAGGCCTAGTTTATAAAATTTAATTTCTAATCGTTTATATTACGTATAGTCCTACTTGAAGAGATGTCTTCTAACAAAGTTATAAACATTGTACTTAACGAAAGTGGAGTAATTGAAGAACTAAGCAAACTTGTGGAAAGGTTGGCTAATGATGCAATCAAGAGAGATGATGTTTTCAAAGTAGGGTTATCAGGTAAATATGTATTTTTTAAAGATGATTAGATAAGAAGATATTTAACTAACATAGCCTAGTCCTATGCCTATAGTAGGCTACTATCTAGAGCCCTCTATTAAATTTGGTCTTACTGTAGTCTTGATACCTAGGGCCTAAAACTTTAAGGCTAGGCCTACCTTCTTTCCACGCATATTTACCCTAAGAAGGGTTCCAGCTACCCTAAGAAGGGTAGCTGTGACCCGCTAGTGTGAAGGGCTCCATATAGCCTAAGACTCAATGAAATTTTACGATCTGTTGGCTATGCAGTCCTAGGCCTAGAAAGACTTTAACGAGAAGGCGTTATAAAAAGCTCAAGCTAGGTCTAGGCCTACCTAATTTTTGTTTTCACCAGTCTTTAAAATTCGAGTTCACAAATCACTTTTGGCTTTAGGCGGTTGATAGGACTGAAAATCTGTGTCAATGTTAGGCTACCTAATGTAGGTTACAGTAATGTAGGTATGGTATAACCTAGTCCAGCGCTACTGAGCCACTGACTCGCTAATAAAAGAGTTCCTTGATTAGAGAGCTTTTGCTTGCAGGCAATTATCAGTGAACATTGTCTACTACTGTACTCTGCTTTCGACACAGTACTTGAGAAATGACTGTATTATTTTGTTGTTTTGTTCTTGTGTATATTGTATTTGTCTTTTATTTGTTTTTATATTTTATGCAGAATTAGGCAACGAGCCACTTTTTAGCCATTGCCACAGTGTAAATAGTATTGTGTAAATAGTATTTTAGTATTTAGTAATCTGACGCAGTCATGCCGATTTCATCGGTCAACGACATAGACTACAAGTATCAAGTAAGTAAGTAAGTAAGTATGCAATGATGAATTTGACACCATTCTTGTATATACAATTTTATATACTAATGAATAAAGATGTTTTGAATTGAATTTGAATTGAATTAAACCATAACATTCTTCTAACCAAACTCCAACTTATAGGGTTCTCTGACAATTCATTAAAATGGATGAGATCATATCTTCAGGGCCGAAAGCAGTGTGTGTGTCATGACAACTTGAAGTCCGACTGGAAACATGTTCCCTGTGGAGGTCCTCAGGGTTCAATTCTTGGTCCCCTGTTTTTCACAATATACATAAATGACATAACTACAGCACCACTGCACCACGTAAAGTTTCATTTTTATGCTGACGACTTGCAAAATCTGCTTTCATTTTAAAGTCAGTCATACGAATGAAATTATAAACTTAATGAATCAAGACATCGACAACATTGCTCACTGGGCAGCAAAGAATGGACTGAGACTCAATTCTGACAAAACAAAGCCAATCATCATAGGTCACTCACGGTTACTTAGCACACTTGATGTAGACAATTTACCACAACTTACCGTGAACGGAACCACTTTGACATATCAAGACAAAGTAAAAAGTCTTGGTTTGACATTAAACCACACATTAGACTGGACTGACGTGGTGGTAAATACTTGTAAAAGAGTATTTGCCGCCATTCACACACTGAAAAAGATGCAACGACTCCTACCGTTTCATATTAAACTCTTACTGGTCAAATCACTCGTATTTCCACACTCCAACTACTACAACACTGTGGTTAATGATATGACTGTGGCTTTGGCAACAAAACTACAACGTGTTAAAAAATACTGCATTAGATTTTTGTTCAATCTTATACAGAATCTTAGATGGTGTGGTTGATCATGTCACACCATATTACATAAATTAATCAATTTTGAAATTAGATGACATCAGAAAAATCCGAATACTTTCAATTACCGTACTCATTCAGCCATAAATCTTGGAACTCCAAATTATCTAGCCAAAAAGTTTAAATTTTTGTGTGAAAGAGGCGCAAGGAAACATAGATGTAGCCTAATGCAAAGGTTAATTTTATTTTATTCTTTTAAATTCACTTGTGTTTTTTTCTTCCTTTAAATATTTGTGTACATATTCTGTAAATACTTTGTTGGAATAAAGAGATAATTAATTCATTCATTCATTCAATACTCGCTCTGGCTCGTCCACACTGTGTATTCCACATCACAGGACGACTGTTTATAACAAGTCTTTTGTAGTAATTGCATGCCGCCTTTGGAACTCTGTACCTTATCCCATTAAATCCTTAGAAAACCGATCCCGACTGACAGTGGCGCTGAAAGAATATTACCTTAACCGGATGGCCGTGACAAGGCGGGATGGCGTGCATTAGGCCTGGGTGCAGCAGAGGGTGTGTGTGTGTGTGATTGTGTTTTAGGGAAATACATTTATGTAATGTTGTTACACCTAATTTGTTTATTTTAATCTTTGTTGTTTTATTTTGTTAATGTTTATTATTACTGTTAGTTTTTTAGAGGTTAATTGTAAGAAAGGGCCGTGAGGTCCTAAGTTCGCCTCAATAAAGAAGGATTTTCATTTCATTTCATTTCATTACACTGCAGTCGTCTGCTGACGAGATTGGAGAATTTGCTGCCGCAGCTGTGAATTTGGTTTCCACCTGTGCAGGTGCAGCTCTAGAAGCCACAGTTGTTTAAATTTCCTATCTGAAAAACTAACAACATAAATGATCATTTCCAGGTGGTTCACTAGCAAACTTTCTATCTAAAGGTCTACCAAACATTACAACAGAATGGTCTAAGTGGAAACTATTTTTTTGTGATGAAAGAGTCGTACCGTTAGATAGCACTGACTCAACTTTTGGTGTGTACAAGAATTCTCTAATTGGAGCTGTCCCACTCTCAGAAGACCAATTTATCAAAATTAACCCACAGCTTCCAGGTAGGTAATAAAACTGTTAATTTTATTTCCACTTTTCTAGCCTGATTTCTTTTATGAATTACGCTTTTCTTCTAGACATACTTATGAAAACTTACGTTACCATATTAACAATGAACAAAACTAATTGTTGATAAAATAATAAAAATCATATAAAGCAATGCAATTTTTAATTTAGCTGGTACCTCAAATGAGAAGTTAATAAGAATGATATAAAATATCTCTAGCTCAAATATATCTCTTGTTTTTGATTTTGCTAAATGCTGATATAAAACTGCGAGATCACAATAGATAAGTCAAAACAAGCTTAAAAAAGCTTAATCACACAGACTAATGCTAAAATTGGTCCCCACAGCTGAGGAGGCTGCTAGGGATTACATACAGAAGATGGCTGTGCATTTTCCCCCTGATGAGCTTCCCAGGTTCCATCTGTTGCTGCTAGGGATGGGTCCTGATGGACACACTTGCTCACTCTTTCCTGGGCATCGACTGTTAGAGGAGACATCGGTCTGGGTCGCTCCAATCACAGATTCACCCAAACCCCCTCGTAAGTATTTCAACGTAGTTTACTTTGCTTGTTGATAAAAGTGTCGAGAAATGCATTGCTGTTAACTTAGGAAAACGTTAAGCTAATTAGCTAATTTATATCAAGTATTAAATATCACACGACATTTAACTGAGTGTATTTTTTGTTTGCCTTGATTAAAACAGCTGTTATAGCGAATTCTTTTTACAGCAACTTGTGCTTTTCATTTAGGCCCTATACAGTCCACTACAAACAATTACATTCATTTTAATTTGCTTAATATTGTACGCCGTGCGTCAACACTTGTTTATGAAACGTACACTACAAAGCAATAAGAGGTGTTTAGCGTTTTGGAGATTGCTTAAGCTGGAGCGTATGGGACTGTTCCTCACCAAGGGGCAGTTAGGACGAGGAGAATCCTTTCTAAAATCTTTTTGGAAGTTTCGCTGAAAGATTGCTACAGCTTCAGTTATCCAAAGAAAAATTGTTTGGGTCACTAGTAATAATATAATTGTATAATTTCAGCGTCTCGTGTTACCCTTACCTTCCCTGTGGTCAACAACGCGGAGGTTTGTGCTTTTGCCGTGTCTGGTCAAGGAAAAGCAGAGATGGTGAAGGTAGGTTATGAATAGTCTTACTCACAGCGAAGTAAGATACAGAGGTAACACACTTATGGAACAACTGTGCGCTTTTAGCTCTGGAATGGTGGGGCGGAAATATACTAGTAGTACGGAGCAAGGAGGAGCTCGAACAGCTGGTGTACAATAGCAGTTGTAGCGCACTGGCTCTTCCTACAGCATGAGCGCTGTAGTAAGTGATGGTGAGGGGGAGAGGAGATTGGAAGAGGACGACCAATACAATTTGCTCTAGCTACAAGCGACTGGTGATAGACACGACTTAAGAGTCCTTGGAGGCTAGCGTCGATCTTGGATGATTTCAAACCGCTGCTAAAGAGTTCATTATCACAAAAAAATAGTTTTTCAAACATCAAACTGATTACACTGTAAATATCTAGTAGGCCCTATACTGTAAGATTAGAAATGTTGTTTGTTGCTTTTAATGTATTTCCAAGGGAGTCCACGGAAGCCAACGGCCATCTTAGATTTGCCCGCCATAAGAGCAATGTTGATTTTGTTATTTTCAAACAGCCGCTGAAGAGTTATTTACCACCTCAATTTTTTTTTCAAATACCAAAGTTATTATAATTTAAATATCTAGTATACTATGAGATAACTAATTTGCTGTGTTGTTTTTTAAATTGGTTTTTGAGTTAGGCCCTAGCACCTCTAGGCTCCAAGGACTCTTATGTGTACCATTGATTTTTTTCTCTGTATCTTACTTCTCTGGGTCTTACTTTATGTGTTGTAAACAATTCCCAACCAAGAGAAGAAAATCAACACTTTTAGCGAATTTCCCTATAGGGAAGTAGCTATTACCGTAGGTCTCATGGTAAGACCTAGGCCCGGGACCGATTTACTTTTTCATTTTGATGCCCCCAGAGGCCAAAAACACCATTCGTTCAAATTTTTATATATCTATATATAGATATATATATATGTGTGTGTCCATCCGCACGATAACTTGAGTAATTTTTGTCCGATTTTGATGAAATTTGGTTTGAAGGTGTAAGGCGGGATAAACTTGAATGAGTTCGCGAACCAGCATGATCGGACTATGGGAACGGGGGTTTATGGGGGGTTTTATGGGGTAAAAATAGGTTTTTCCCATTTTTGACCCTAAAAACACAAAATTTCACAATTTATTTTTAAACCATTTTGTAAAGCTTAAAAAAATAAATAATTTAGTTACCTAGTATATTAGAGCACTGTTGTATGCCAAACGGTCACGGAGAAAATTCAAAAATAGTGTAATTTAAAATTCCCATGTTATTCTTATGGAGAAAATGAAAACTGTTGTAGTTTGCTTGTTTATGAACATATTTTAATCAAATTTGGAAAATTCATTTATTTCATACTAAACTATTACATTTTACAAAAAAATACCTTTTTACCCTCCCTGTTGCAGCAAACCTAAGTACTCGTTAAACTAATGTTATTTAAATAGGGAATAAATGTGATATTTTTAAGGAGACATTTTAGTGTAAATCCACTCAGGCAAATGGAAATTCGCTAAGTCTGCAGGTTTGCTGCGGTGGGGGTATTTATAGATACTATTTGTTCATTACCAAACTATTGTGTAATCCATATAAAATATGAAATGTAACTGATTTCACAGAATCTGAAACAATTGTGAAGGATATGTCATAGGACTTGATTTGATTGTTATCATTCCAACGTCATGATTAATCATAGTTAAATTAAGGACAGGATGTTTTTTTAATGCAACCAAAATTAAAAGTACTGTGAGACACGTTTTCATGACAAAACAAGTTAATATGTATAATATATAATAATAATAATTTCTATATATATGGAATTATTATTGTACTGCTCATATAATCTGTTATTTACTGTGATGTTTTGCAGCGTATCCTGAAGGACAAAGAGCAGCTGCCAGCCGCCAGGGTGCACCCTACCAAGGGCCAAGTGATCTGGATACTGGACCAACCTGCTGCCTCTCTCCTTTAGTAGCCACACACACACACAATTGTCTACGGTGCTTTAAAACATAGTGAGAAACTCGTACTGAACATTTTTATACTCAAGTGTTAAATTTTGATCCGGATCAATGGACTAGTCATTCCTTTACATTCCACATTTTTAACCCATAGCAAACTTGTATTTTAACGGTTTTATGCAATATTATATTTTATAGTCTATGTTTTGTTGGAATCTTTTATATTTATGTTGGTAAAATAAATGGTTGATTACAATTTGTTTTTGTTTTGTACCAAGTGCAAAAGTTGAACTCCCCAAGTATGGAGAAGAGATATTTCAAGCTGTACAAATTCCTCAGCACATTCTACTTCTTTTAATTAATCTTATAAAAAATCTCTTCATAAATCCATGAAATAAGCCTGATATATCAGGTCATATCCCATATATGTGTATCTTTCTTTCACATACCATGTGGAATAAACAATCAATTAGAAAGAAAGGCCAATGATTGATAATGATTATTAGTATGTAATATTGGGCCGCAGTTACATGGCGATCTTTCATTCCCCATTTTAACCTACATTATATTCACCAAAGAATTAAAATGATCAAACGCTGTTAACTGCTTGTGTAGAATATCCTTTCTCTCATTTTACGTTGATATGATTATGAGATCTGGACCCTGCAAAGACTTCCGGGAGTAAGACCAATGAAAGGGTCACCAAAAGAAGGTGATTATTGCAATAACTGTTTTCCAAAGATTTTTGTTTAAGGAGATGGTTATGAAAGGGTAGTCTCAAAGAAGCGTCAAAGACTTATTATACTTCTTTGATAAAGCCTCCTTGCATCTGTGAGGGACTTTATTGTTCAAAATATGAAGCCAAGAAATAGGAATGGGCATCAGCGTTCCAATTCCTTAATATTTGGAAAATAGAAAATAATCAAAGACAGTGAATGTCTTTCTTTGGAAAAAATGAGGTTTTGTTGATTCTCTAATTATACTTTTAGCATAAGCTTTAACTGTAATTTACGTGGAATGGCACAACAGTTGTTAAACAAAACGTATCTAAGTTTGACTAGATCTTAACGAGATATTAACGGAAATAATGAAATGAACACACTAATCACTCATTAGCATATTAATATTTACAAACCTATATAAATGCATATTTAACATATATTAAGCACTATCTGCTTAAGTTATACTTAGTGTAAACTAACACTGCTCAAATAAATCCTACAAATGAAGTCTTAATCAAAATGCTTACGTTAACTTTTCTTATATAATGTATTTTACAACCTTGTTGAACCAACTAGTGTATGCTGTGATAGTTTTGCAATGTGCTGGATCTTATTTACCACCAAACAGTCCACTCAGCTGGTTTTGAAACCACTGGAAGTTTTGCTGAAGTTGCTGAAACTGCTGCTGGGCCGCCAATTCTTGCTGAGCCAGCCAATCTTTCCATCTCTGCTGCTCCTTCTTCAATTCAGAAATTTTGTCACGCACCTGAAGAAAAAGTTTTCCGCATTATTTCTTTAACTAAAAATTGAAAAGTTTATAGCTTCCCAATAAGGCTAATGAGTAATTTAAGAAGGTTCCTTTTCATTGTGTTGGAATGTTCTTAATAATTTACATAACTCTAAAGCTCGGTCTATTGTTATGACAGAACACTGAAAGCTTAGGGGTTGAAAGATTAATGCAGATTTTTTTGGACGATTCAAACATATTGTGCTATGTTCTGAACTGTTTTGAAGGAAAACTTTAAATTACAGGCTAAATTATAACATTTGTAGCTTTTAATTTGTTGTATTTTATTTGTTGAAAAGTGTGATCAATCTTCCACCTTTAAACCTCAATACTTTTATAATCAATAAAACATCTTAACTCGTCAGATTTTTGATATCATTCCAGAAAATAAGACAGCTTTGCCAACACACATGAAAATTGTATGTGCTCTATGAGCTTTGTATTCTATTCTGATAATTTGTCATACCTTCTGGCACTCTTCTTCACTTATAACTTCTGAAGAGCTTGAGGTTTTTCCATCCTGTTGTGTAAATACTTCCTTTTCACATTTTTTGTCCGTGAGGTGCACCAAAGTCTGAAATGTTTGATACTGTTTAAGTGTAAATTCAAAAAGCACACCCATCAGGCCTATCAGTAAAAGCCTTAATTGTATACCAAAATGTTTATACTGTAAGTAAGCAATGATACAAACCCTTTACATCTCAGTTCTTAGGTTCTATCAGGAAATGTTAACACTATTTAGCTTATGTTATGGTACTTGATCCTGGCTGTTATGGCGTAGTGTCCTGATTGGATATTTTATGTAGATGGTGATATGTTTCAGTTTGAAAAGTACGCCGCATTTACTTTGCACACAGGGACATTAAAAGTCATATGTAGTAGCCGGCCGTTATCTCTTGAGTGTATGTAGAGTGGTTGTGATTGTGATAACCGATTAACCGTTGGTGTTAGCCGAGGGTATCATCACACTGTCCGCTGTATTTTATATTTGTAGTAGGAGGATTATTTCACCTAGATTGCATACTAACAACTACTTTTTTTCAGATCGGAAGGCTAACCCAACAGCGCACTTGGAGGGAGGGTTAACATCGCTTGACTAAAGACGTTTTGACCAAGAGGACCTGAAATGCCAAGAGTTTAATAGAATAGCCTGTTTCTGACCCCTATGCCTATTGGATCACGGCCGGTATACCCTGTTTCCTTTGGGGTCATTGAGTGAGGGAGTGAGGCCTTGGTTTGTCAGCAGGATGATCAAAGATTCCCGAGGTGGACCAAAACACCTGCAACAGAGAACTCTTGCATTCTCTTTCTGGAGACACCGATTAGGCCTTGTGTGGTCAAGAACGATGGGTTAATGAAAGAAGAGGATCTTGAATTAGGAACGCTGCACGGCCCAATGGACTCAGTCTCACTGGCCATTTCCCTAGACCACTCAGGCATTGAAGTGATTAAAGAGATGATGGCAAACAAGAGACTCCAGTAAAGCCAAGCCCCACCCTCCCAGAGCGCTACCATCCTGAAGAGATTGGTAACCCGGGCACCAAGGAGGTCTCTCTTAAATAGAGTGGCCTGGGCCATCAGGTGTACCGTTTGTGCAACTCCTCTGGGAAAGGCTTTTCAAGCATTCTGTCGTAAGGAGAGAGAGAGAGAGAGCAAATGAAGATCTCAGAAGAGAGATCCCGGAAGAACTGAGCCCAGACTGTCAGCAAGTGGTGTAATGAGGGATCAGAGAGGTGGTTAGACCCCCGAACGCCGTCATAAGTGAAAAATTTGTCAGAGCAGGTGCAGATGTGTCCAGAGTCCAAAGTGACATTGATCAGGCCTGGAGATCTCAGCCCGGCCTGACGACACTTCAGGACGTCGTCAGCCACGTGAAGAATTGGGTGTGATGAGGCCCACCAGCAGTCCGTCCTCCAACTCCCGTTGACCAATGATAGTCTGCCGCATATGTGGAGGCTAGATATCAAGACATTGTGATGGAAGACCTACAGAGGATTCTGTCAAAGGCGGAGCAAGCTAAGGGGCTTCTGCACAATTAGAGGGACCTACATAAGAGAGTGGAACTGGAGAACGGAGGCCAGAGCCGTCAGAGACCTCGACAACACTGGCGGAATCTCAAGTGGATTTGACGATGTTTACAAGTAGAAAAAGGTGCTGACCTCAACTCCAGCCAAGATCCATAGGTTAACAAAAACCGTCTCAGCCAGGTAAAGCACGCAGTATTAAAACATTCATATATTGAGAATTCGCTGATGCTGTGGAGGTTTTTAAATACAGTTTAATCAGAGCGAGGATATAGTAACTTTCTTGAACTTGGATTATGCTATTTAGAGTAAAGGTTATAGTTTTAAAACTTTAAATTGATGATTCTGACATTAGGTTGATCGCTGAACCATTCGTTGCCAACGGCAAGCCCGCTTTTCAAGTTGATGATGTCAACTGGTGCTTTACCACAAGGATACTCGGACTTCTTGTCTATGCCGTTACCGAAAATTTTCAAGTTGGCCACACATTGCTCATTGACTTGGGACTCTGTGACGGTCACAGTGATCCCATTGGCTGAAGACTCAACATGACTGCTGGCTTGAACGTGATGTTGACCTGAAATTGTGTCCATTGTGTAATTAAATATTTTGCAGAGAGAATTATTCAAATGATTTTAAGAAACTACAAATATTCAAACTGTGGATATTTCAGGGAACTACCCCATGTTAAAGTTGCTGGTGTTGCAAAAGAGTTGTTAATTTCTAGACTGTCCTCAACATTTATCTGAATACGCCCGAGTTTTTTCCAAGTCTTACAAAACGCTTATGGCGATATAACTAAAAAACTATTCCATGTCTATTCATGTTCAGTATATTCATAAGAGTACTTGTACTACATGGTCTGGTCAAGAATTGTTAAATGTTAAAAACGTCTTGTTACCACTAGAGCTGGAGCTGGAAGTCCCTGTTGAGGTCAGAGTCGCTGATGAAACTTGAGGCATCGGGATGGCATGGCTGAATGTCAAACAACAAACCTAAAACATGCAACGGTAGAAAACATATTTAGTTTGATTATTATATCGCATTTCTTACAGTTTGTGATATATTATTGTAAAATATAAGTAGTGGCCATTTGCGTTGAAAATTACATTGAATTTGTGGATATCCAAAAAGAAAAAGTATACTATAGTAGTTAGTTTCAGCTACCATAATTTATTATTGAAAATATTCCATTGTTCAAAACAAAATGGTGTAATGTTTTACAAAGTTATACAATATATTGGAGCAATTGGATTTTGTTGACCATTATTGATCATACTTATCATAAAACATTAAATTTAATATAGAAGTTAGTATAGTTCCTATAGTTGTCTGGGATGGCAAAAATTAAATTCCGTCTTGTGCTAGCTAGATAATATGTTACACATGTTATCAATTTTTCATTAGTATCTGAGTTATTACTTCAATAAAATAAAAATTCTTAGAGTAGTAATAAACAGGCCAATTTCTTGCAATTTGTATAAACTAACAACTTTGTGTAGTATGACATATAAACCTATTTTTGTGATATTATTTTGTTTTCATTTCCCTTCAACAATAATGTACGGTAACGGCATAAGTTATTAGGAATTCTTCAAAATAGTTTTCCATACATTTTGGGTATGGATGTGAAAAGTTGGCATGGACACAAAAAATACTGTTAAATGTGTATTGTATAGTATTGTAAAGCTAAGCAACCTGACCTGACCCGATTGATGGACTTAAAGCCACTTTATATACTAAGACTTAATAAACACTGGATTGTCGAGCTAGGTTAGGTTTGTTATATTAATGTCTCAAAATAGCGTAAAAAACGCTAATTTCAGCATATTGTTTTTACAATTTTCGCGGGGGAGAACCCCCGGACCCCCTCCCTAGCGGCTGTTTCAAGTACGCTCTTGCAACCCCCCCCCCCCTAATTTTGATCCTTGGTACACCCATGAGTCCGTAGGTTTGTATTTCATTTCAATGTAGCTGATAACTTATAGGTAAGCGTGTATATGTTCCGGTAACACTTCATCTTATTTTACCAACTTCAACATCATAACGACTCAAATCCAGAATATGCTGATTAATGCTTGTCCCGAGGTATTTTAACCTAAAAGTAAGTAAAGTTAAGTTTAGGAAGTAGAATAAACCATCTGCGATTATTAACTACCCGTAAAATAACTCAATTGATTTTACTATACGAATTGAGTTTAGGCCTACTATGCATATATATGTATAGCCTATATATATATATATGTATATATCGGAGAGCGGACATTTTTGTTTGAAAACATCTTTGACAGAAACGTTTACGAAGAACAGATGTTACGGACAATCACACAAACATGACATCATGAGAGTGATATTGAGTGACGTGCCAGTGTTCTGTATTGGTTGTTCTGATATCTGATGTCAATGGTAGAAAGTGACATGTTATCAGTTAAACCCGCTCTGTATCATATCGTGTGAAGGGGGTTTGATGTCACCTATTAAAGCTGAGAGGGCTAGAAACAATTGAAAAGCATTATGGATACTAAAAATAAATACAAATCTGATAATGCAGGTCTATATTAATCATTAACAATTAAATTCGAGCTTAAAAAAACCTTCGCAAATCACAACAATGAAAGAAAAAAATACTTTACCGCTTTGTTTGATCAAGAAATGATTAGAATGAAATGGGCTACAATATTAATTAGGGAGACAAACCAGTAAAAACAAAATTAAGCCTATAAAATAGTATAATCATCTGGTTTATGCAGGACGAAAAATACTGTACTTCACGAAACATACCCTACCACGAATAATAGAACAGAAACGGTCAGGGTCCATAATAACAACATATGTTTACTTTCGGGCTAGTGAAGTACCTAATTTCGTAATGTTTATATGGTTGTTTATGTTTATGGACCATACCACTAATACTGTTCCAACTGGTTAGGCCACTGTTCTAATATCCTTGCAACGCACTTTCAGTTTAAACGTAACCATAATGACTTTGGATACTGAAAGTAAACTTTTGTTCCTATTAAAAAATATGAAGTGGTTCAATGTTTTTATCTCCTTTATCGCTGATGTGAACTTTCTCCTCTCTGATTATAGGGTACATTTTACAGTGAGTGCATGTTCATTCGCTTATATAGAATCAGTATGAACATAATGCAACGTTTACATTTTTGATTTATTTCCATTTAAATGACTTTTCCTTCACACTACCACATAGCTGGCGAAAAAAAACGTTGTAATGTTACACCGTTCATATTTCGATGCGGGAATGCTGTTAGTCTATATAAATAAAATTAGAGTTTTGTCTGTACATTGCTCAGAATCATAAACTTTTAGGTTATTTTTACGTTTTATACATTAAAGAAACCGAAACAAGTCTCATCTAAATTTCTGTCTGTCTTCCTGTCTGTTACGGCCAAGAGCCATTTTACGCGGCCTTCTCCTGAAAAACGAGAGTACCTATCAAGTTCCAAATCATTTAAATGTATTCACTGGATTGGCGAGATTGTCTTTAGCCATTAAAATATGGCGTCACTACTTTGTAAATAAAATAACAAA